ATACCGGTGGACGGAAACGGAGGTGTTGTTGACGCGCGGGGTTTGCTGGGAAAGTTTTAGTTTGACGCCATTTTGGATTAAGAAGCAGAGGGAGTAGTCGAAGTTGCAGGTATTTCACAGCCGTACGTGTTTTCAGCTACATCAGATCTTCACTGGGTAAGAGTCGGGGAAGGTTATGTAATAAGGGTAGAGTTAGTAAAACCGCTGCATTGAATTTACAGCAGCGATGTTGACCACAAGTTAGCATTAGCTATCGAGTTATCCGGGAAGCTAATTTAGGGTCTAACCAGGAATAAGTTGGCCAAAATCCGTTTTGTTCTGTTTCACGGAGTGACGTTAGTTCCTGCAAGCTAGTAAAACGACGTGTTACGAAATCGGATAACGTGGGTATTCACTGGTCATGTTTTCTGTTAAATGTGTGCCTGTACTCTCAGGAGTGGAGGGATTTAAGCAGTTAGGCATGACCTCCTTCCTGACCGGGAAAGCGGGTCGTGTCCACTCCCTTGATAAAGAAATATCCTAGTTTAGGAGCGGCTATCGCTTATTTACAACGCTTCAGTTTAGAAGAAGGTGAACGTTAGCGCTCATCATCTGTGGAGGTGCTCTTAAGATCTCGGGTAGGAGCTCACTTGGAGGTGGAGATTGCTGTGACCTTAAATACTCTACGGTTTTCCAGGTTGTGCTGCATGTCTTCTCCGACTTGCTGAATATTCCTGAAACGATTCAAACTTGGTGTCGATTTAGATGGAAACGAGGTTCCGAAGGTGAAGCCATTGTTCTAAACAGCTTTACTTTGGAGGTGTGGGTCGTTGTGTTGCAGTGATGTACCGTTTCTAGCACATTCTGTGGGAGACTTGGACTATTGTTCTTTAATTGCTGTTGAATTGCTTCTATTGTACTATTTTCTGTGGCTACAATAATAAACAAAATAGTACACTTTAATTTTGAAATTAAGTTAAATAATAAAGGGTTGAAAGTAGGACTGCAACGATTAATGCGAATAATTTGATTATAAAATTGACTCAAATGCTTCGTTGAATGCATGGCTCTGAATTATGCAGATGAAATGTTAACTGAAGTTACAGCTCGGACGGAAGCGATACCTGCAGCAAACAGGAGTTTGAGTCTAAAGGGCGGCTTTCATTTCGAGGCTTTCGTAACATTTTTTCAGATTGAAAGTGGCATTGGGTTAATATTTAAACATATTAAAATAAAAGCTTGTTTTCGGACAGTTGGTGTCGTAAGCCCCGCCCTCTGTTCAAAGATGGCCGTTCACAGTGGACACAGATGCTTCTTTCACTCCTCTTTCCAATCATCTGTGTTCTCTGTCCAAAATGTGAACATTGGCATCCTTGAAAGAGTGACCTTCGACCTTTAGATGATGATGTCCAGCCCACAGAAACAAAAGTCTAGATAGTGACTATAAAAGCCACCGACCGAGAGCAGTCACAGGTATCACAGCTGGTGTGTTTAACCTGTTCTTTGGTGTGTGGGGAGCTTACCACAGTCTTCACGTTGACTTTTGAGCTGGTGGAATAAATTAGTGGTGCTGCTACCTTTTGTGGCATAGTTTTATGGCATGTTTTGAAAAATACTGCATTTTGTTCGACATCCAAACGACAGCGAGTCTCATTCCTGAGACTTCTGCTGTCGCGGTAATTTCCCCTGTCCGGTAGTATAGAAACACGCCTGCTCGGTGTATTCCAGCCGGTAGAAATGTTTCCAGTTGGCAGGTGTGAATAAATGATGCATTTGCAGCGTGTGGTAGGAAAACAACCTCACAGTGAATCACACGCAGGCAGCTTTTACGATGCAACCATTTAACATGGAAAAACTCAGGATACATCGAGTATAGGGCTGCCACGATTAGTCGACGC